TTTTGCTTTGCAGCTGCAGCTGATCGTAACTCGAAATGGTCGTAAGTCTGGACGTTCATAAATTGAGGCACCACTGTATCCTCATACCTTGTAGCACTACTGCCTTGATTCAGGAAAGCCCAAGGATTTGACCTGTTGTCACTGCTATATCTAGCCTATCTGCCACCTGCGGGACCACCTAGTAGCTGAGGCTTGCCGGGGGCGAGTACTTTTAGTCTTCTTCTTCTTCTTCTTCTTCTTCTTCTTCTTCTTCTTCTTCTTCTTCTTCTTCTTCTTCTTCTTCTTCTTCTTCATTATTATTATTATTATTATTATTATTATTATTATTATTATTATTATTATTATTATGAAACACCAGATGCAGTCAATATTATAAAAACGTTGGCTGGTTGATATCAGATAACAGATACAAAAACCTAAGTACAATATCTGTTAAATACAGTGCAGTATGTTTGCTGTTCCGATGATGATGATGATGAGGATGATGAGGATGATGATGATGATATCGATATCATCTTAGGCTAACAACACAACGATGAGGAGAATCCACTGGGGAGGTTCTAAGGGCAGAATTGCTTCCATCAGCAGAGGAAGGAGGGGGTTGCATCCCATTCCCCAGACAAGACCCAAGTACCCCCAAACAGGCTTTGGAGGGCTGGGAAATCGTCCATCATCATCATCATCATCTACCTTTGACAATAAGAATATAACCCAGGACATTTTCTGCCCATTCGTATAGGCAGAAAAATGTTCCCAAATAACTTACTTTTTTGCAGAAAATGTTTCATTTCTTTTTTTTTAATTTATGTTTTGTGAGATTTGTTAGTAACAATGAATGGGTGCCAAATTGCCTCAACCTTAACTGAACAAAGTTTTGCAGATGATTCTATGGACAGTAAACATCAAACTGGAGGTGAACCAATGACCTCAATCAACTCTGCTGTTAATTAGAAGAGTTGACAAGAAAAGTGTGTTTAATGTGCAGCTCCTTGCATGTGCTACAGTTACTTTTTCAAGAACTTTGTGTTTTTTTCCTTTTTCCTTCCCCCCCCCCAAACTACAACATAAACATAAAATATATAAACCAAAATACAAATTGACTGTGTTCCCCAGCACCATAGTCGGGACCTCTTGCAGTAATCCTTTTCTTCCTCTATCTTTATTCTTCTTCCTTTATCATCCTCTTCTCCAAAACTGCATTGATTCTTGATTTGGAGCTTTCCCTTTTCCTCTTGTTAGCACATATTCAAGAAATCTGCCCCATATATCATAGAAATTATTCTTTTTCATCTCTCCTTTCTTAACCTTTAAGTTACAAGTTAACTTATCATTTATAGCAGTGTTCCATATTTGATTATACCATTCTTCCATTCAAAATTCAGACTTTGATTTCCAATTCCTAGCTATTATTAATCTGGCTGTTATTAATAAATTGGTATAGTGTGTTTAATGTGCAGCTCATTGCATTTGCTACAGTTACTTTTTCAAGAACTTTCTGTGTGTTTTTCCTTTTAAACTATGTTTTTAAAAAAATACAGTGCTAAGGCGGTACATGTTATAATCATTTAAAGCCAAGTATTTTAAAGTTCACATAAAGACTTGTATTTGTCTGAATATAATACTTAAATCACATGAAGTGTGATCCCCACAGTCAGATATTTTATTTAGAACTGAGCTGTTATATCACTAAAAATTTGGCTAGTAAATATAAGTCAAATAAATATGCCGAATCAGATGGTGCTCTGTCAAAGCATTGGAAGGTTTTCCTAATCAGGATTTCTCAGAACACCTTGCTTGGGACAGGCTGATTTAGGTTATGTTTGCTTCAGATTTTTCAGTTTGCATTTAGTCTTCATACTGATATACATTATATTTTTCTATTTCCTTGTAAAGAAGACATCTTCTTTGCCTTAGACAGATCAACATGATGGTTTTGTGAGACTTCTGTAAGGGGAAGCATCTTTTAATAGACATGGTCTAGAGGGGCAGGGTATAAATTTAATAAATAAATAAATAAATAATATCAGAACAATAATTGTTAATGTCAGAGCTTAAGCTCTGTACAGCAGGGAGCCGCCAATTAGCCTTATTATGAGTTATTTTATAATGGAAGAAATTTTTGTACTGCATCCGATCACCTAAACGAGCTTTTTTCCCCTCTATGACTTTTGTTGGCTGTCAGATGCCCTAAAGGAGGTCAAAAGCAGGGCAAGACAGTGCTGTCAATCCCTTGCTTGTCACATTATCACATATTGCTAGAAGAGTACAAACAAAATGTACGTTCCACTCCAGGTTGTTACTGTAAGTAGTGTGTTGTACTTACACTTACCTATCTTCATACACAAAAAAAGGCATCAAGCTTAGCCATTGCAGCCACTGTAGTATTCTGCGGTAATAAGCCTAAACTAATCCTATGCCGAGTGTGAGGTGTTTATCTTTGAGTCTTAAACCTAGTTTCCGAAAGTTTCACTATATGAAAAGCAGTGTAATCCAAAGTCAAAGCTCAAGTGGATTCAGAATGGCCAGAAGCCACAAACTGTCCTTTTGCTGGCACACCCAAGCCTCTTGCGCTGGCTGAACTCATATCTGCTGGATCTGCCAACACAACAGTGGTGCTGGCTGAAGTCAGTTGACAGGAGAGCCATCCAAAGGGTAGAAAAGGGGAGGAGCTACGCTGGACCACACCCACGCCTGTCTCTGCCAAGGATCTCAGCTACTCTGTTGGCACAAAGGAAGTCGCAGTAGTTATAAGTAATTTCTAATATCCTATGGTTAGAAGGGGGTTGGGTTGATCATAATCTGAGCTGGCTTTATATCTGCGCAGTCGGTCCTCAGCTATCTTCTCTAGTCAAGACAGCACACACAACATTCTTAAATTTTAAGAAAGTAAGTAGTTCCTGTTTATCCATGTCACCCATGAGTTGAAAAGAAGTGTTCCTGTTTGTGTCCCTCCACTTAAGCTAAAATGCTCGAGTCGTTGCAGTCAGCTGTGCAACAGATTGGAGATTAATTTCTTCTAACTGGCTATATAAACTGCCCTTTCTAACTTTCCTTTCTTCGTTAGCTGCTGGTCATGCTGACCATGCTGGAAGCTTGAATTTCACCCCTAATCTCTCTGCATACTGAGACTTACATAGAGGGAGATTGGGATAGACTAGGACTTGATCCTCTAACAGGTGCATGTTAGATTTGAGTTGGTTAAGCTTCTTTGTACAGAGGAACATTAGTGCACAACAGTGCCCACCTCAGAGCTTGAGACTATTCGGTTACTTTGTGAGTTGCAGTCCAACCTCTCCTTTCCTTGCAATTTATACAGCATACCGGTGCAAATGAAGGTTTTCCACCTCAATGAGAATCAGGCTTAGGGAGGATCGCAGAACCCCCTCTGTGTGTTAAATGAGCATACAGAGTGGTCCTTGGGGGAATGCCTGGGCTAGCCCTACACTCCCAGAACTGTGTTACCACCCCTGAAGAGAAGTGTGCTGAATATTCCTGAGGAAGAGTTCTTTGTGCATACATCTCCTAGATGCAAGAAGGCTCCATGACAGGGCACCGTCCTATCTGAAGTGTGGGAGTTTTTCACACATGAACCTCCGCGCAGGGAGAATTTCTTCACAAATGTGCAGTGGGCATTCATTGGCAGGAATCAGTTTTTGCCTCCAAGAGAGAGTGAGGGCTGGTGTGGGCAGCCCCAAGAACCTCAGATTTCATTCACTGAACTCACAGAGAGGTTCCAGAGGTGAAAGCATTTCCCACCTGCTGTCTGCAAGCCTTTCCTGTCCTCAGGAATGATCTGCTGTTTCCCTTACACTTTTAGCATTGCACGGAAGAGGTGGCGGCAGTTCAGGAGCCCTGAAGAGAGGTGAGCACATCTCTAATGATCAGGTCATTAAACAGATCTTGTCATATTTATTAGCTGCCCTTGTTTTTACAGCTGTGGTTGTAAGGTCAGTGGCACCACTTGCTTGTTAATGCTCTTGTCTCAAAGGAGGGAACGCCGTTCCAGAGATGCCTTTACAGCTTGCAGAGTGGGAGGCAGAGGGCAGCAGTTTCCCACAGAAAAAAGCCGCAGCCCTGCTTTACTTTTCAGATCGAAATCAGCTGTGGCACTGATTCTTTTCATTTGACAGGATTTCTAAGACACCGCTGTGTGTGCAGATACCTGCTTTCATTACAGCTTCCATTTCAATGAGCTTTCTCACTTTCCAGAGGTTGCCTGAAGCTGTTCTGTTGACTTTTATAAAACGCTTGCTCATTTAACTTTGTTTTCCCATTTGCCGTTGTTCCCTTCATGCCGCATCTTGAGAAATGGGGTGGGTTTTTTGAACAGCTCCCCAAACCCACCAGTGATGGCTAGGGGATTCTGGGAACTGTAGTTCAAAAATAACTTCTGCTAGATCACCTTGTTGACTTGATCAGGTGCAAGTGTCTCTCCATATCAGTTCTCATTAATCTTCTTTGCAACTGTCAGTGCAGTGTTATTTGTGGTTCCCTATAGACTCAGACTGAATGTTGCTGAAAAATATGCCAACTGTACCCTGTTTCCCCAAAAATAAGACCTAACCTGAAAATAAGCCCTAATACAACAGCTCCCCAAATCCACCAGTCAGGATAACCTGACATTACTGTATTTGAATAAATGTAGATTGTTGTACATGAAAAAAAATCCCCTGAAAATAAGCCCTACTGCATTTTTTGGAGCAAAAATTAATATAAGACCCGTTCTTATTTTCAGGGAAACATGGTAACTTATTGAACAGGACTGTACTTTACATGAAAACCTTAGTTTTAGTAGGGAAACTATTTGTGACGAGAACCCTGACCAATCTGACTGTTGACAGGGAAACAAGGTGAATGGCTGGGTGGTGCCTGTAGCCAGCCTATCTCAGAGCCTGGAGGAGGATGAGAAGGAGAGTGTAACTGAAGAAAAAGTTGTTGTCGGGTTGTAGTAAATGAAGAAGAACTGAAGCTTAGATCTGTTCCCAAGCTGGTGTACCTATGTAATAAAAATATATCATTTTCATTCTTTAGTCACCAGGTCTGGTGTGGTTAATGGCTGGTATCAAACATGTTACTGGAAAGTTATTTTAAAAAGTGGTCACACCATGCTACTTTCATATTTTATTAGCAGTTATGCTATTTCTTCAAAGAGAGCCGCCTTTGGTTTTAATGTGGAACTCCTCAGCTTTTCTCCTGATTTCCTAAGAAACTGAATCTCTTTGCTTCCTCATGCGTGCCTGTGCAGTGTCAAGAGTTCACTCAGAACTGCCAGTCCTGCCCCATTGGCTTTATAGGAAAGAGAGGGGAATGGCAGCAATTGTGCCATTTGTGTGGCAGGTTCTAGCATCCTTTGGGATTTTGTGCATGAATGGCAAACAATGAAAGTATTATCTTGGGGAACTCTCATGAAGCTCATAGGGATCCCATGCTGTTCCCAGTTGGAGATGATTTCTTGCAATGTGTCCATGTGCAGGAAGGTGTCAAGAGTGTTCTGTTCAAACTTTGTAATACGGACAAAATAACTCCCTCCGGATTACAGGAAAAATGTCAGTGCCTGTCTTGGGATAGCAAAGGGCAACATCAGATGGATCCTAGAATCATATCTCTGGATGACCTGCCTTAGTTTCCAAGCCTTGGTCAAATACTGATTGTGACCTTTCTTTCTACTTATTAATCATAATAAGGGACAAAACCTGTTGTTGGGAAGGACAGGTTTAAGGAAGGCAATTCATAATTTTTAATTCTTGAGATAGTAGGGAAGTTTGATATACTTGTCACCAGATGTTCACTTTTATTTTGAAGTACAGAAAATATGCTGTGAATTTTGTTAGGTGCTGAAGGTGGAGGGCACAACTACCGAAGCCATGATGCCATTCTTACTGGCTCTCTTATAGTAGCATTCTCCTACATGTGATCACGTAACCTTTATCTGATAATACTTGTATTTCATAGTTGTCAAATAGTACTTTACAGTCCTCCTCTCCTGAAGCAAAACTGGCAATCCTGCAGAGTGTATATCTGGACCGCCATGTTGTTTGCACATTATATCTTGTCTTTTTCAACCTTTTTTTGTCACCTTATAGATAGCTGCAAATCCCTGGACCAGTTGAGCCTCACAATCCCAGTGGCAGGGCACCCTGTTTCACCTGCTCACCCACTCTCAGGATGTCCAGTACCCAGTGTGCCACCGGCTGCAGAACCTGTTCCTCACTTGCAGACGCCCAACTCGGAGCCCCAGACGATGGCCCGCGAATGCCCGCAGAGCTCAAAGCCCCCCAGTGGCTCTAAATCTGGCCTCCGCAATACCACAAGCTGTTTACATGTATCTGACAGTAAAACGACCGGGGCCCACTCTCATCCAAAGCAGCAGCGCATCAACCGGAGGAGAGCCACCAATGGCTGGATTCCCATTGGAGCAGCCTCTGAGAAGGCGGTCTATGTTGTGGTAAGTATCCTGCAACTTCTCAGTCAAAGAAAGCCAGACAAGTGTACTTTTAGTCAGGACAGTTTGTGCCAGAGTGTTTAGTTTTATGCCAGAAAGCCCCCCACAGAGAGAGAGAGAGAGAGAGAGAGAGAGAGAGATTCTCTCATTGGGGAAATTCTCTGCCTCATGAGTTGCTGGTCAGCCTTGGCTGTCAAAAACCTTGTTAGAAACCAGAGCAGAATGCCTTGTGGCAGCCCTGGAGCGAGGAGAGTGGTGCCAAGCAGTCTGCCAAAGCTTGGCCTAGGCTCTAGTTGAGCTGTGCTGAAAACACAGGTCAGCCTGGAGAGACTCATTTATTTATCGGTTTATTGCATTTATACCCTGCCCATCTTAATCAATTGACTTCAAAGACCTCTTTTCTTTCGGACAGATGTGTTGGGGAATGGGGAGTGTAGCATAAGGATTGGATATAAAAATTATCTGGAAAAAGGAGAGGTTCAGCAATAAAACTTTCGGAGCAGCAGGAATGAGACTAAAACTGAAAGGGAAAACTTGAACTTATATTGTGACAAAAAGGAAAACAGTGTCAGAGGCGGCGGCGAAGCATGGCACAGACAGTGCTACTGCTTAAAATGTATGGTACTCTAGTTTTCTTAGCAAGGCAGCTGTTTAAGGGGAAAGAAAACCATCACCAGTATTGTGAGTTTTCTTGTGATTTCTATGATCTTCTACAACTAGTCTTCTTTGTGTTGAAACTACAGTCAGCTTAGGATACAGGGCAGATAATGTTGCCTTCTAAAGAATTTAACAATTAGATACATTTCAGTCTCAGCTCAGATCTGCCACCTCGGGCAGCCTATTTCATTCTGCAGAGCAAATGGGTAAGCTTTTAAGAACAAGGGTATTCTATGAGACATCAGTGTGTTCCTGCTATCGGGGCACACTTTCCCCCCTCTCTCTCCCTCTCTGCACGTGTTTGTGTGCGCTAAATTGCCTCAGAGCAGCTTATTTACAAATCAGGTTCCACAAAACTCATTCACAAAACTCTGGTGTGGGAGGAGTTCACTATGCCAGATTAGATCAAAAGGAGCTCTCCACAGATAGTGTGACAACACATAATTGCAATACAAATAGGATTAATGGGGATTAAATTGTCATAAGAAATGTGACGTAGGTGAGATTTTATCACAGTGGTTTACATAGATTTTCAATGGAATGTACCTACTCTGATGTTTGCTTCCTTTGAAAGGGTGCCTGAGGTTTAAACAAAACAGATCAGTTCTCTTTTGGTTATAGAGACAGGACTGCATCCAATTGTTACTTCCAGCTAGAGTATACCCATTAAGCCAAATGAAATTTAAGTGCATGTTGCCTTCACAAACTCCTGTAATTCAGTCATCCATTTGGGACTAACCATTGGATATAGTCAGTAGATAAAGTTATAGTCGAAATGTTTGGACACAATGTGTTTTCAAGTTATGTTCTAGATATTGCCCAATGTTCATCTTTTGCGGTATCAGAACATGGGTGGGTTGATAGGGGATGTTGGCAGTCTCAGAAACTTGAGTGGTACTACAGCAGACACAAATTCATTTGCCTGCTAGATCTTCTCCACTCTAATTAGGATATATCAATCAGTATCTTCTTGTATAGGTTGTAGGAGGAATGATTTCACTGGCAGTGGCAGGTTGCTGCTAATTAAAGAGTACCTGATTTGAGTGCAGTTTGCAAATGACAAGGACAACCCAAAATTAAAGCCGGAACACTTTAATTAGTGTTGGCTGCCACTACCTTTAATGTCTCCCTTGCTTCCTTTGTGGGAACTGCACAAGAGGATTTTGGCCATTATGTTTAAGTTGGCTTCAAGATGTCATTACGTACTGCTGAACTATTTATTATGGGGAAAATGCAGCAATACAGGGTCCCAAGAAGTGCCTTTGTTATCACTGTATATCTATTGCCTTTAATTACATTATTGTGTTCTCTGAGAATATGTGGATCTGTGCTAGAACGATATAATAACACATTGTCACTGAAATGCTTCTTAAAACAAATACATTTTCACTGTCTTCTCTAGTTTGTTACTGATTAGAATAAAAAAAATCATTTGAACTCTTTTTTTAACTATTTGTCTTTTCTAAGTAGCACTTCCTCAGTTTCCCTCCTTCTGGACAGTACCATTAGCTTCTGTACACTTTTCAGTTTGACTTATTCATGGCCGTGGTATTACAAATATTTTTTAAAAACAATTTTCAGTTAAACCGTGGAGTGCAAAACACTGTATAAAAATAATGATGATATTGGAAATGTACAGAAGCATTTTCTACAGGTCATTTTTCTTCATAGGCTTTGTGAATCACATGTGTGGACGTTTTTGCACCTGTGTGAAAATCCTCAGAACTTTGTAGAGCTCAAAGAAAAAGTGGTTATAGAGCAGCCCTCCCCCAGGTTGCTCATGCTCCTGTGCCTAGAAGTTCCCTTTAGCTACTCCTGAGGAAACTTCAGAGCATCCTTTACAGAATATTTCATTTAATATATCCAAAATTCCTTACCTGTTTACCTTCTTGATCATCTGTGTCCTCATCTTCATCTTCCCTTTCATCTTTTCTATGAGTTGCCCCTTAAAAAAGATTCTTATGTTAGTATTCTTTGTATTTGAGGCCTTCCTGCCTTTTATGGTCCTGGTGGGCTCACTTAAGAAATGCATCACATGTTCTAACAAAATTCCCCTCACTGAATGGGGAGCAGCAGATTCAAAATTGTCAGTCTTGTCATAAGTTCATAAAGGTTATGATTTTTAAAAAAAACAGTCCTGCCTCAAATTCAAGGAAGAGTCATTGCAGATGGTAGAATACGTGTCCCAGCAAGTGACCCATTCTGGTGGTGTCTGTATGTAAGAAACCATTCCAAACAAGTCGCCATGGAAGGACTCTAGTTAGAATCCACTACCAGGGTCTATGTAGATCAAAGCACCATCCACACCAGCTCCTGTACCCATCAGGAGAAACTAGGAGGATCCACTATGACAGAAGTACTCACCCATCTTCTGCAGCTGGGAAGTATCTCAAGTCCTCAACACAGTGGTTAGTGACCATATCCATTCTGCCACCTCAAACTCAGATACCAAGTCATCAGAAGATTCTCCATCCATTTTGGTCACCAACCCAGCATCTCATGTTGAAGATGTCAGTCCTCCTTTCCCTTCTGCAAGATTTGTAGCTGATACGACCAACCAAATTTATAGATCTGTTTGCCACTCTGAACAACAGGAAATGTTGAAATATTGGTTCCGGGCAGGTCTAGGAGAGGGTTCACTAGGAGATGCCTTCATGACTCATTGGTCAAAGAACCTTCACTATCTCTTCCTGCCAATTCCCTTGCTGCACAGGGTAACAGAGAAGCAAAGAAGTAGAACATGGGTGGGTTGATAGGGGATGTTGGCAGTCTCAGAAACTTGAGTGGTACTACAGCAGACACAAATTCATTTGCCTGCTAGATCTTCTCCACTCTAATTAGGATATATCAATCAGTATCTTCTTGTATAGGTTGTAGGAGGAATGATTTCACTGGCAGCGGCAGGTTGCTGCTGATTAAAGAGTACCTGATTTGAGTCCAGTTTGCATATGACAAGGTCAACCCAAAATTAAAGCAGGAATGCTTTAATTAGTGTTGGCTGCCACTACCTTTAATGTCTCCCTTGCTTCCTTTGTGGGAACTGCACAAGAGGATTTTGGCTATTATGTTTAAGTTGGCTGCAAGATGTCATTACGTACTGCTGAACTATTTTATTATGGGGAAAATGCAGCAATACAGGGTCCCAAGAAGTGCCTTTGTTATCACTGTATATCTATTGCCTTTAATTACATTATTGTGTACTCTGAGAATATGTGGATCTGTGCTAGAACGATATGATAACGCATTGTCACTGAAATGCTTCTTAAAACAAATACATTTTCACTGTCTTCTCTAGTTTGTTACTGATTAGAATAAAAAAAATCATTTGAACTCTTTTTTTAACTATTTGTCTTTTCTAAGTAGCACTTCCTCAGTTTCCCTCCTTCTGGACAGTACCATTAGCTTCTGTACACTTTTCAGTTTGACTTATTCATGGCCGTGGTATTACAAATATTTTTTAAAAACAATTTTCAGTTAAACCGTGGAGTGCAAAACACTGTATAAAAATAATGATGATATTGGAAATGTACAGAAGCATTTCCTACAGGTCATTTTTCTTCATAGGCTTTGTGAATCACATGTGTGGACGTTTTTGCACCTGTGTGAAAATCCTCAGAACTTTGTAGAGCTTAAAGAAAAAGTGGTTATAGAGCAGCCCTCCCCCAGGTTGCTCATGCTCCTGCGCCTAGAAGTTCCCTCTAGCCACTCCTGGGGAAACTTCAGAGCATCCTTTACAGAATATTTCATTTAATATATCCAAAATTCCTTACCTGTTTACCTTCTTGATCATCTGTGTCCTCATCTTCATCTTCCCTTTCATCTTTTCTATGAGTCGCCCCTTAAAAAAGATTCTTATGTTAGTATTCATTGTATTTGAGGCCTTCCTGCCTTTTATAGTCCTGGTGGGCTCACTTAAGAAATGCATCACATGTTCTAACAAAATTCCCCTCACTGAATGGGGAGCAGCAGATTCAAAATTGTCAGTCTTGTCATAAGTTCATAAAGGTTATGATTTTTAAAAAAAACAGTCCTGCCTCAAATTCAAGGAAGAGTCATTGCAGATGGTAGAATACGTGTCCCAGCAAGTGACCCATTCTGGTGGTGTCTGTATGTAAGAAACCATTCCAAACAAGTCGCCATGGAAGGACTCTAGTTAGAATCCACTACCAGGGTCTATGTAGATCAAAGCACCATCCACACCAGCTCCTGTACCCATCAGGAGAAACTAGGAGGATCCACTATGACAGAAGTACTCACCCATCTTCTGCAGCTGGGAAGTATCTCAAGTCCTCAACACAGTGGTTAGTGACCATATCCATTCTGCCACCTCAAACTCAGATACCAAGTCATCAGAAGATTCTCCATCCATTTTGGTCACCAACCCAGCATCTCATGTTGAAGATGTCAGTCCTCCTTTCCCTTCTGCAAGATTTGTAGCTGATGCGGCCAACCAAATTTATAGATCTGTTTGCCACTCTGAACAACAGGAAATGTTGAAATATTGGTTCCGGGCAGGTCTAGGAGAGGGTTCACTAGGAGATGCCTTCATGACTCATTGGTCAAAGAACCTTCACTATCTCTTCCTGCCAATTCCCTTGCTGCACAGGGTAACAGAGAAGCAAAGAAGTCTAACACAATCTTAATAGCCCTCATTTGTAATGTTGAAAGTAATGGCATGGGACATTTACTAGTTGCCACTGTTCCCTCACTTAGTCTCTCAGAACAGAGGGACAATTCACCATCCAAACTTAGACATGCTGAGATTGACAACATAGAGAGTTCTCTAACTCTAAGTAAAATCATACGTGAATCTAGAAAGCCATCCACCAAACGTAACTACAGGTAACAAATGGCAAAGGTTCTGTTCCTTTGCCGATTCGGTCAGAAAATCTGATCTCCTGCCCGTTACATACAATGTTGCATTTTCTTTCACACTGAAAGGAGAACGGTTTGTACATTCATCCATAAAGCAAAGCAAAGCGTGCTGCTTATATACCGCCCCATAGTGCTTCAAGCACTCTCTGGGTGGTTTACAAGTTAATTATGCAGGCTACACATTACACACGCCCCAAGCTGGGTACTCATTTTACCGACCTCGGAAGGATAGAAGGCTGAGTCAACCTTGAGCCGGCTACCTGGGATAGAACCCCATGTTGTGAGCACAGTTTTAGTTGCAGTACAGACAGCGGTTTAACCACTGCACCACGAGGCTCCTGTCTATCCATTATAGTGGCCAAGCCGCCCTCCTGGTTCCAAAGCATCCTAGTTTTTCAAGAATCCAACTTCCAAGAAGTTCCTGTGAGCTTTGCAAAATATCTTCCCTGATATGCGGTCTCCATTTCCACAGTGGTCACTTTCACTAGTACCCAACCAGCTCATGAAACCACAATTTTAGCCAGTAGCTACAGCAGATCTAAGATATTTTTCATCTGAAACCATATTTCTACTGGCTGTCACTTCAGTGCAAAGACAGAGTGACTTCTGCATGACCTGCCTTTTCTGCAATTCTACAAGGATAAACTTAACATCTTTCCTGATACGACTTTCACCTCAACCAGCCGCTCATATTTCCAATTTTCTAGAGTATTGCTTGCTATGGAGCTGAAAAAAGCACTGCACATGTTGGATGTTCGCAGAGCCCTAGCTTTCTCTACCTCGGGAACTGAGCACCTCCCAAAAACTAACATATTCATTAGTTATCTGAGCTCTTAAAATGGGTGAACAGATCACACTTCAGTGCCTATCAAAGTGCTTGTGAACACGCTCACATTGTCTTACCAGCTGGCAAAGAGACCAGTCTCTGAATCTTTGAAGGGACACTCCACTAGGGATGTAGCTGCCTCTGCAGCTTTTCCCATGGGAATCTGCGAAACGGCAATGTGGGCTCAGTCCTCGACATTCTTCAAACTTTATAGGTTGGACACTAGGGCAAAACTTGATGCTCCATTTGGAAGAACAGTAATTTCCTCTGTGTTAGCATGACATCCCACCAGTCAATAAGTGAGTTTGTCAATAATTCACACAACCTATCCATCTTCCCTTTAGTCTTCCAAACTAGTACAGTAATTCATTTCCTGCACGGCGGCAGATGGTGGGAACTGATCACCAGGTGCAGGGGCCTGCGCAGTAGGGAATTTGCTATCAGAGTTCTTTCTTTAAGCTCTAGAATGTTCTAACAAATTTCATGCAGGTGCAGAAACATGCATATATGAATTCACAGATGGCCACTCAAAGAAACGCAGTTACAGGTAAGTAGCCTGTTCTTCTATATCAGTTCAAGTCACTGAGATGTGCATTTTCTCTTCAGCTAAATATGGCTTCAATTATTCCATATTGACATTTCCAAATTTAACTCACATATTTGTGTATGCAAATTCTCACTGTATGTGTTTGGATTGAGATGTTTTGTAATAATCCATTCTAAGATAGTTATAATGTGAAAATGTCCATTATTTAATACTTTTCAGTATTAGTACTTAATACTCAGATGTTTCTGAAAAAGTAATTGTAATCTATGAAAGCTCACATTAAATTAAAGGTACTACAATGCTTTTGTTGGATTTTGTTCATGGTTAACATGGCTACCTTTTAGAAAACAATTTAATATTTTGCATGTCACAAATTAGATTCAGTGGTTTGTCATGATGGTTGTTGTGGGTTTTTCGGGCTTCTTGGTTTGTCATGACTTTGTCATGTACTGTCACAAATTAGATTCAGTGGTTTGTCATGACTTCGTCATGTACTATTTTTGCACTTCTCATGTTACAGAACACCCATCCCCACCCAAACTTGCAGATTTAAAAAATGTATTTAAAAAGTACAATGTATTCTTTATCTTCCATCATTCTTGCAACACAGATGCTTTCCATTCCCCAGAGGTTAAAACCAAAGGCTGGAAAAGTTGTGTTTTGGATGGGAACTCATAGAGTCCTAGAATCCCCCAGCCATTGGGACAGTGCTAGAAGGGGTATTCCAAAAGTGTTAATTTAAAAGGACCTGTTCCAGACTCTGGTTAAAACTGCTTCCTTTAATGAGAGGATTTAGTCATGCAGTCTTACAGAGATCCAGACTCTAAAGCAGCTCTCTGTTTACACAACCTTCTTCCTGAAAACTAATGTGAACAAATAGAATTGGCTTCTTTTTTCTCCGTGGGTTTAATCACCATTGCCTTTCATCTGAGCAGTATGTTTTGCTTCTGAAATCAACCCGCTGGGAAGAGAAATGCATCCTGCCGTTCTGTACACTGCAGCTTCCCTGTGGGTTCTCTGGCAGCGAAGGCACACCCTTTTTGGCAGAAAGGGTCCTCCTTGGTGTAGGTGGATTAAAGGAAACGGGTGTCTGTTTCTGTGCATTGTATTCCCAGTCTCACTTCTTTTCTTGGCACTCTCTCTTGTCAATATTTGTAGAATGAACCAGAGCCAGCTGTTCGTAAGAGCTACCAAGCTGTGGAGAGAGATGGAGAGATTATCCGGGTTCGAGACACAGTCCTCCTGAAATCAGGACCACGGAAGAAATCTATGCCTTATGTGGCAAAGATATCTGCTCTATGGGAAGATCCCAAAACAGGTATTGGAGAGGCAAAATGGTAATGTGATCAATCATCTTTGCAAATAGATTGTGGAAAAGAGATGGCAAGATAAGTGACAAATGATTTATTTAACCCTACCACCTTCAAACTACATTATATCATTATACATAAAACTGAGAAGGAAACAGACCACATATTCAAGCCTTCCTATTTTATTTCTGGTACCATCCAAATTACAGAAAAGCAGATGGTACTTAAAGGTTACTGTGGCAAAGATTCTTGCAAGACAGAGAAGGGAATGGGAGAGACACAGGTAAGTGACTCAGGGGAGCAGATTCTATTCATGACAATGAAAAACCTCAATCTTGGCCTAGGAGAAAACAGTCTGTTCTCAGATGTAAAGGAAAATCCACTAGCAAGGCAGCTGGCAGTCTGTAGAGCACATTTAAGCTGACCGGTGATGGTTTGTTCACTCCATCCAAAATAATGGCAAAGGGGATACCCCAAAGGGTACTGTGGTTTCTAGAAAAGTTTTATTTGCACAGGGTGCGTATTGGATCAGAAGGAACCTTTAATATGAATCATGTCTATGCATGAGAAACCCCTTGTGACCCCACAGAATCCTACATGGGATGACAAGATGACTTGTGCTCCGCTGCAATAACAATGTAAATGCCTCTTGGATCAAGCCGAAGGCAGTGCCACTTTGAGATGGTGGGCCGGCAGCCATCTTGCTGCTGACTGAAAGTCTAATTTCTGCAGTTATCACTGCAGTCCCTGAAACATCCTCACTTTTACCATGGGAGAGGAGTTTTCACGATCAGTCTAGGCCTATTCTGGTTATGGTACATGAAGATGAAGGCACAGCCCAGCACCATTTGGGCTAAAGAAGTAGGCCATTCCTGATGCACCAGTCTCCTATACCAGGGAATGGTGTCCTTTTTAATTGTGTATCGTTTGTGGTATGAAGTAGAGACAAAGTTTGGAAAAGGTGGCTAGGCAGGACATTGTGGTCCCAGAAGGGTAACCCTAAGTTCTGTGTAGGTGAAGGAGAGAAAAACAAAAGTATAATCATTTCTAAAAGGGCTCAGAAGGATTCCATAGCTCATGCTTTTTGCCATTTTAATTTGAATCATGGCAGTCTCTGGTTGGAGGAAGTTGGCCGGGAAAATGTTTCTACCAGTTTGCTGATTCTTATTCCTTAGGAACAGCTGCTCCCATATGATTCTGTAGCAGCTGGAAGGTCACAAACCTCTAATTAGGCTGATGTTCTTCCTAGTTTTCATTCTGGGAAACAATGTAAAAAGCTATGAGTTTATCCTGTTTGAAAGTTTTGCCACTAGCTGCAAGTCTCGTGCTCTAAAGTAGGGTGGGAATAAGATGTAATTTTGGGGTAGAATAAAGCGGTTCCTTTCCCATCTGAACTAGTGAGTGCTGCTCCTTAACTCTAATAGTGTATTTGAGGGGAAAATTTGTTTCCTTATAGAAGAAGGTGCAAGCCTTAAGTTATATTCCAAAAGCTACTCTACAAATGGAATGAGAATTGTTGAAGAAGTGGTTAATCTTTGGCACTCCAGATGTTTGGGGCTACAACTCCCAGAATTCCCACCATGTATTTCCAATGATAAAGGAGTGTGGGAGTTGCAGTCATAAGTATCTGGAGTGCCAGAGGCTCACTACCTGTGATCTAGAATGTGTGGTGTCAAAGGAGTGATTCTCTGCAATTTTCTCCTCCCTGTAGGTGAGCCTGGGTACCAACCCTAGGGTTTCCTAATTACACTTGAACTCCCTTCCTTTAAACCAGTGGTTCTTAACCTTGGGTTACTCAGGTGTTTTTGGACTGCAACTCCCAGAAGCCTTCACCACCAGCTGTGCTGGCTGGGGTTTCTGGGAGCTGCAGTTCAAAAACACCTGAGTAACCCAAGGTTAAGAACCACTGCTTTAAAGAACAGAGCTAGCCTCCACCACCCTGTCTCCCGTAGTTACCCAGTGAATCTGAGCGGCCTGAAGGAAGCTTCTTTAGTTTTCAGTGTCAAATAGAAAAGCAGCAGAGGCCATGAAAACAGCCATGGGGAGGGAAGATGTTTTATCCGCCCGTTTTAAAAGTGAGCTGAGATTTTAAAGGTGAGCTGATGAGAACGTCAGCTATATAGCCCTTGAGAAAATGGAAGATGTTCTTCACAACAGAACAGATGACTTCCTTTCATTGGCTGATAAAAAAGTCAAGACATGTGTCTTCTAAAAAAGGAAAAGAAAAGAAGTTGTTAGAGATGGAGGTATTCATCTACGCATACGAATATTCCCATGCAGCTGGAGTTAACGAGGGTCCACTCACATGTCCGGTGGTGACAGCTCCCCTCATCCTTCCAGTCACTCTGAAGCACCGCTCGGCTGGCCACTCAGCAGCCTTGCAGGGAAACTCGTCCTCTTTCTGCCAGGAGTGGCCACTGGTTCTTAACCTTGGGTTACTCAGGAGTTTTGGACTGCAACTCCCAGAAGCCTTCACCACCAGCTGTCCTGACTGGGGTTTCTGGGAGTTGCAGTTCAAACGCATCCAAGTAACAAAGGTTAAGAACCACTGGGCTAGACGGGCCGGGAAGTGAATGGTGCTGGGGAGCAATTGGAAGGATTGATGGGGCCAGCGGTGGCAGCAGCAGACATGTCATTAACTCCAGCTGTGCGGGGATATTCATATACAAATACCCCCATCTCTAGTAGGCCTACTAAGGAAGCACTTTCACTGCATTTGTTCACAATGTACTCCTTAGTTCAGCAAATGTGAAACTGATGGTTCATAGTTTGGTTTGGATGATCTAGTGATGTCAAAAACCTCACACAAATTGCTGGTATAGCTCTGCATAAGGAAAACAAATCCTAAAGTTTGGATTAAGGGGCCAATTCAAAGACAAAATAGGCCTTAATTAAGGTGAGATACACACACCTTGCTTCTACAGTAAAGCTAGATCTGACTTCCAGTGTAAGGGAGTTGCTCTGACCCCTTCTGTGTTGCTTGTCATCTTTCGCTGGTATGTTAGATGTCTGCAGAAATCTGCTTTGTTTCCTTATAGGCGAACTGATGATGAGCCTCCTGTGGTATTACAGGCCGGAGCACACTCAGGGAGGCCGCAATCCTAGCATGCATCAGGTAAGTCGTGCACTCTCTGTGATGCTTACGACAGTGTATAGCTATTCCCTTGCAGGGAGAAGTACAACTAGCTAACATCTCTGCCTTACACGGATGCTGAGCCATTCAAAATAGGTGGCACCTCCTATTCTTGGTTAGTTGGACCATTCCTTTGGTGAGAATAGTATTCATTCATGCAGTTGCAGAAGGCCAAATAAAGAAGCTCCCAACTTCAACAGGACCCCCTTCATGTGTCTGCTTGCACATTAATGCATGTATCTGATTTCACCCCTGCATGGGGGTGGGAGAGTGCTGTATAATTGTTCTAGCACATTGCGTTTTTCTTAATGGGGCTCTGGTTTTTATGTCCTTGTAATTCACTAGGCGCGTGGGGCGTGGTGGCGCTGTGGGTTAAACCGCAGAAGCCTCTGTGCTGCAAGGTCAGAAGACCAGCAGTCATAAGATTGAATCCACACGACAGAGTGAGCTCCCATTGCTTGTCCCAGCTCCTGCCAACCTAGCAGTTCGAAAGCATGTAAATGCGATTAGATAAACCGGTACCAACACAGTGGGAAGGTAATGCCATTCCATGTCTAATCGCTCTGGCCCTGTGACCACGGAAACTGTCTTCACAGTTCACGCTAGCTCTACAGCTTGGAGACGGGGATGCGCACCATACCCTAGAGTCAGACATGACTGGACTAAATGTCAAGGGGAACCTTTACCTTTACCTAATTCACTAGGATTGATTGCCTAAAACTGTGGGGTAGGGGTTTTGCCTACTGGCTGTTTATTGGGAGGGAGGTGCCTGCTACCTGTTAATCTGGGAGTATTTGCCCACTGGCTATTAATCTGGGGGGGTTGCCCTCTGGCTGTTAATCCCGGGAGGTTATCTGCTGGCTGTTAATCTGGGAGGGGTTGCCCACTATCTGTTAATCTGGGAGGGGGATTGTCCACTGGCTGTTAATTCGGGAGGGGGTGCCCTCTGGCTATTAATCTGAGTAAAAATAATCTCACCGCAGATATTCTTGGGGGATAATAATCAGGTCAGACTCTTATGAAAGGATATTGTTATCTCTGTTAAAATTTTACCAGAAAGCCTTATTTGTTCACATTGTACAATAGTCTTTTTCTTGTTTTTATAAGACCCAGAAAGCTGTGTAAAACACTGCATCCGAAAATTGTACAGTGGTTTAATGAAAAGGTTTTCTTTAAAGACTCAATTATTTGTTAAGACCTATGCTTAGCCTGTTCTTGCCTTTCCCAATGACCGCTTTTATTGCTCAATAAATGCACAGGTTATGTTCTGTTATCAGAGGCCTACCATGCCATTTCCAGCTGTTAATAGGTCAGTTGTTGGGGAATTGGTTGTTGTGGGTTTTCTGAGTTGTTTGGCCGTGTTCATAAGTTTTTTTTTCTTCCTAACGTTTTGTCAGTCTCTGTGGCCAGCATCTTCAGAGGACAGGAGTCAGAACTCTGTACTCTGGTGCAGTTTGCTTGGGCAGTTGAGTATTTATAGCTGTGGGATCAGCTTTTGTTCTGTTCAGGAGATTGGGTGATTATGGTAATCAGCATGTTTTTTGTTGTGGGTGTATTGTTGTGATAAAGGGGAGAGATTATCTGTGACTGTGATTGCTGGGTGTCTTTGACTTTTGTCTTTTATGTGCAGTGATCAGCAGTCCTTGTGGCTGGGTAGATTTCATTGACCTTTTGCAAGTTGTACTTTTCAGTGCTGGGAGCCAGGCTTTGTTGAGTTTTAAACTTTTTTACAACAACCTTTTTTTGTTGAAGCTCTGCTGGTGTTTGTGGATTTCAATGGCTTCCCTGTGCAGTCTAACATTTATTTATTGATTGATTGATTTATTTGATTTATTTGATTTATATCCCGCCCATCTGGTATATTCTACTACTCTGAGCGGCTTCAAACATAATAATTGCTGGTGTTTTCCAGTATTTCAGTATTTTGAAATAGAATTTTGTGTCCAGCTTGTTTTAGCGCATGGTCTGCTGATTTTTCTGGTTGTTTTAGTCTGTAGTGTCTCTCATGTTCTTTGATTCTGGTGTGGATGCTGTGTTTTGTGGTTCCAGTATTTACCTGGCCACAACTGCAAGGTATCCGGTATACTCCTGCAGTGGTGAGGCGGACCCTTTTGTCCTTTGCTGACCATAACATTTGTTGTATTTTTGTTTGTAGGTTGTGTTTTTTCAAAAGCATCCCCATGTGGTCCGTAACCTCTTTGATGTATGGCAGTAATTACTGTATTCGTGGGTGGCTGTTTTTCCTATTCAGTTCGGTGTTTGTTTTCTTGGTTTGATGGCTCTTGTGATTTCATATTTGGAGTAGCCATTTGCCTGTAGGGCCCAATTCAGGTGGTCGAGTTCAGTGTTGAGAAACTGAGCTTCACAGTTCCAATTTGCACGGTCTACCTGTGTTTTGATTATGCCCCTCTTTTTTGCTGTGGGTGGTGGTTGGAGTTCTTGTGTAGATACCAGTCTGTGTGGGTGGGTTTTCTGTAGACCTTGTGTCCCAATAGGGGCTCAGTTTTGCGTATGGCCATGACATCCAAGAAAGGGAGTTGGCCCTCTATTTCTTTTTCCATGATGAATTGATATTTGGATGGATGCCACTGAGATGGTTTAGAAATTCTTCCAGTTTTTCTTCACCATGGTTCCAAATTGCCAAGGGGTTGTCCATGTATCAGAACCAGACAGTGGGTGCGAAGGGTGCCGAAGCCTGGGCCTGTTTTTCAAAATGTTCCATGTAGAAGTTTGCTATAACCGGGTTGAGGGGGCTCCCCATGGCCATCTGTCTGTTCATAGAACTCGTTATCCCATTGAAAATAGCTGGTCGTTAGGCAGTGTTGGAAAAGGGCCTTGATGTCTTCCGGAAATGTCTGCTGGATGAGTGTCAGGGTGTCCTTTATCGGTACTTTGGTGAACGTTAGGAAGAAGAAAAACCTTAAGAACACGGCCCAACAACCTGGAAAACCCACAACAACCATCAGATCCCAGCCGTGAAAGCCTTTGAGAATACATGTTAGGGAATTGTTTTTCCTGCAGCAAAGAAAAAATACATTCCCGTCTCTTCTCCCACTCCTAATAAAAGAAACTAGCAATTTCTTCTATTGAACCTATTATGGCCACAGTGCCCAGCAGACAAAACAGTTCAACAGCTTCTAGTTTCTTTAGAACTAAAATATTCAGACTGATTGAGGGAACAAGAATGAAGATGCCACTGACTTTTCAGTTCGGAATTGTACTTTTAAGAGGTATCAGGAGTTTGTGAGATTAAGGGAGACATTTGTTTGATTTGAAGACTTGTCAAGTGAGCCCCAGAGACTGAAAGATGAGCCCTTCTGGAGACATCATCTGTTGTTGGTTCAGACAGTACAGGATTCTGAAACACTGTCTCTCAACTAACACTTGATATTTTGTATTTGCTGTCTCTGTCTTCCCTTAGTATTTCAGATTTCCACATAAAATATAATCATTTATATCCAAACTTGCAGAAACAATAAGACAACTGAATAGATTTCCGTTAATACCCCGCTGCACCCCAGAAAGCTAGAGGCAGCATCAGGTAGTTCAAAAAGGCAAACATAAGATATAGTCCACCTGTAATCCTGCTTTAAATTTTTTTTAACTTGTTAAAAACATCTATTTGGTAAAGGAATATTACTGAGAAGTATTGATTTATGGAAACTCAGTAACCCTATCTGAGTACTGTTTATTTCTAGGCTGGTTGTTTTTCTGCACATCACAGAGCTAAAGGGGTCTAGCTAAGTTGCCCCACTGTGAATATGCCCCCTCAGGCTTACACGGTTTTGAGGCATCATTTGTTGAGAACTATTTTGTAGCATGTAGTAGTTTTTAAAAAATGATTGTGAAATAGTGCGAAAATCATGTTTATTGTGGAAAGTCTAATGCCACATAAGTTATCCTACCTAGTTTTTGTCTTAATCATTTTTACAGGTTGTCTTTGCCTGAAATCCTGTTGTGGAGTTAGGCAAACACTGTAACTTACAGGGATGAATTGCCATATGTGAAGAAATCTCTGTCAAACGTATCTGTTGTGCACCAAGTCACATGACTGAATATGCAGACAGACAATGTCTATGGAGACTGTGCAACATTTGCATACAAGTGTATAAGAGAATTTCAACCATTGTACACACTGGCTATGGATTAATCCACCTCAGTGGGACTTTCTTCCCAGTAAATTACATGTAGGATAGGGCGGTGGTACTCTGAAAATCTTAAATGAAGATTGAACACCTTTATAATGGTTTGAAAAGATAATAACCTGTCCCTGACCAAGCTCTATTTGAAATATGACACTGATTTGTCTTATAAAGTGTCACTTTCTGGACAGAGAAAGTGACCTGTGTTTGTTAGCTGTGCTGACCGAAGCGGCATGCAAAATGGCAGGCAGAATAAGAAAACCGGCATTGTGCTCCGGCAGGAGGTTGTGTCACACATGCTGATTGATGCCGGTTGTGTGTGCTCTCTTGCAGAATGAAATCTTTGCATCTCGGCATCAGGATGAAAACAGTGTTGCGTGTATTGAGGAAAAGTGCTATGTTCTGACCTTTGCAGAGTACTGCAGGTAGGTGGTGCTCTTTACCTACTTTTGCTACCACTCCATCTCCCCTTGATGAAGCTGTGCAGAATGACTTCTGCCTTGCTTGCTTACCAGTTTGCTTACAGTCTCCTTGGCTATGTGTGCTTGATGGGCAGTAGCTGTATTTCCCTGGATTGCTTACCAGTTTGCTTACAGTCTCCTTGATGGGCAATAGTACCTCTGGGTACCTCTGCCATTTTTAATGACTTGTACCTAATAAGATGTAAGGAAATGCCACATTTCATGTCTCTTTGCAATTCTTGCAATTTGTTTTTCAAAGGTTTAATCCGGATCTTCTCCTTGATTGGGTGGTCCGTAGTAGACCCTAGTTACCATGTTACTTTTTGTGTTTTTGTTTTGTGTGTGTGTGTGTGTTGTTGTTGTTGTTGTTGTTGTTGTTGTTGCTCAAATTATATTAATTCAGCTGCTCTCAGTGGGACAACCAACCTCATCCTACTGTATTTCTGTGCAGGAATATCTATGTTTGACAGAGTGCGATTCCAGCTTCCTTTCTATTCTTTCTTTTCCCCATATATTTCAGTTTCAGTCCCATGCTGTAGGGAATCTTCTACTGCAACTACTTCTCCTTCTTTTGCTCCTAACTGTGACTTTCTTCCATGGTGCTTCCTCCACTATGTTTGTTCTCTCCTCAGCACTCTCTTCTTTTGCTTTGTGTTGCTGCTTTTCCGCCCCTAGTGGCTTCTTTGGCTGCTACTTCTCAAGAGTTCTGCCTAGGTACTCTTCATCTTCCCTTGTAGCCTTAAGCATGGTCCCTCCCTGCTCCATTCTTCCTTCTTCCAGCAGTGATACCAGTTTGTATCTGCTGAATGTGCACACCGTGTTGTTCTTAGGCACGAGGAGAGGCATTGCACATATTTTGCGGGTCACCACCACTGAAGTGCCTCTTCTCACCATAATCCCTGTTACCTTTTCACTTTCTTCTGTCTGTCAGTACCCTTTGTCTTATCTGCCTTGACAAATGCTTTCTGCCTTTGTCTTTTTTGCTTCCCGTATTCTTTTGTCTCTTCCTCCAACAGATCTTTTCCTTACTACCTCTCCCCATTGAACTCCTGTTAGCACTTCCTATTCACTCTCTCTGGTGGCTCACTTCCTGGGATCTATCTCAGTTTTACTGCTTTACTGTGTTCTGTTGGGAAACAGTAACAGAAAATTTTGGTTGCCCCTCTCCATTTTCTTATCTACACCAACTTCAGCTAATTTTCCAGGAGTTGTAAGTTATGAAACATGCACAAAACATATACATGTACACTGTGCCATTTTGAGCAATCAATAATCATCAGTCAACCCCTATTAAAATTTTGCTTACCCTGAAACTGAAGGTAGTTGAAGGTCCAACAGTCTTGCTCACAGGAGAGAAATATGAAACTCAAAATCTCATTGGAAAAATGCTTAGTGAAATGTTTGTTAAATGTTCTTGAACTCACATGTCTTGTCAAAGGCTAACTTTCTTAAATCCAAGCTTTAGACAAGACATAGCTTTTAAAGTGGGCAATGTTTTAGTTGTCAGATTTATATTCAGTAACAAATGTTGTGTTGGTTTTTGGAAATAATTTCAAAAGCAAAGCTGGTCTCTGCCTACGTGTTTTGTTTTGTTTTTTAATTAGGATTATATTTTACAAGAACCAGAGCCAGTCTGCACTTTGTCCTGGCCCATTTTGTGTTACTCTGGATTGAATAATGGTCTGCAGTGTGGTGAAATTATGGGAGGTGGTGCTGTGTGAAAGACAAGCAACCTGTTTTCTGCACTAATCTTGTTTTTAAAGCTCCCATTGAATTCAATAGGCACTTCTTTGTTTTGTTCCTTAAGCGCCGACCATGTATGTTTCTCTGTAGAAAGGCAACATAATTGTTTCAAGGTATATTGGTGCAAATTGGTTTGCACTTCTAAAATAGATTAAGCATTGAAAGATGAAAGCTCCAACTGATCATTTTTGATCCAGAGACCAGGGGAAAATTACATTTTTAAGTCACATAGTGGGCCTCCTGGCTGGGGAAGCTGGGAAATGTAGTCCAAAAGAATTAACTTCTCCAAGCTTTGCCAACATTGTGCTCGTAAGTAGGGAAGTAACCCAGCCCCACCTTGTTGGCCTCTTGCTGCTCAAACACAAGAGGGATCCCACAATTTTCCTTGGATTTGGAATTAAAGGAGGGGCATCACTAGTGCAACACACTTACATATCTTATAAAAACACAGTGAGTCAGTATTGCCTGCTTCTCTCTCCCTCCCTCCTTTTTGGACCTGTTGGAAAAGAACATACAGCCCATTTTGAAGAAAGAAAACTATTTACTCGAAGTTAAAAGATGCACAGTAGTAAAAACATAAGGAGTTTTTAAATCTGCTGAGTTGTTGTGGCAACAGAATATACAGTATCTATGAGGTTGAAATCCATTATGTGCTCATTTAACTCTCTTGCAGATTTTGTGCCTTGGCAAAGCGTCGCATCGAGGGGATTCCAGGCAAGAGGACAGTCATGGTCCCTCCATCAGAAGAGTATTCCACCCCTCCACATCGCAAGGTGCCAGAGGACACTGATCCAGAGTTGGTTTTCCTCTGCCGTCATGTCTATGACTTCAGACATGGACGCATCTTGAAGAATCCGCAGTAACAGAGCTTTGCCCCTCTGGGCGGTTGACAAGCGGCCATAGAGAGCCAAGGGCAGGCTGACCTCCTTTGTCTATGCGAGCACTTGCTTTGGAGGTGTGCTGCCTGCAGGCCCCGAACAGGACACCCGAGTATCCTATCTGCTGTTGGGAGCAGATTTCCTGTTAGGACCGATGTTCAAAGCACAGCACTTCATATATAAAGAGCATGAATGGAAATATGTATCTGTAGAGAAATGTGTGTATATAGATACAGGTGTTCATTTCTGTAATCTGTTTCTATATACGTGCGAAAAACTTCATATATGCGTGTAGGGGAGGGGAGGATGGGCCGGGGAATAAAAGCCAGTAAACTGAACCCAACACCAATTTTGATGGAGATGGTTTGAATATACACAGTGGAGACCTGAGGGCAGTGAACCAAGCTGTGACAAATCCTGGATCTCGTGTCCTTAGATTGAAGGGCAAGGAAAGAGGCCATTGTGGACTGTTCTCATGCATGAGTGTGGAGATGAGTCCCTGCCACCTTAATGTGCTGAGTATCCTTCTCAAATCCTGACATTGTGTTATCTTTTTTAACAAAAGAAGGATCACACACAAAAAAATATGCTTGTTCTGTCTGATCAGGCCTTTACTTGCTGGCTTGTGGGCTACATCTCCAAAGCAGGAAGTGGGAAAGATGTAATAGGATTACCTCACACCATTATGGGAAAGCTGCATATCCTTCTAAGGCTGTGGTCCGAAGCCACTTGCTTAGCAGTACATTTCTGTTGAAGTCATTATAAATACAGCCCAACCTTAAGGACTGCTCTTGATCAGGGAGGGATGGATTGCATATGGAAAGCCTTCGCAATATGGAGTTGACTGCTGCTACAATATAGACCGCTTCCCTCCACAAATCTGGAGAGGCGCCCCTTCTGCTGGTACAAATAGTATTCTTTCCCATCCCAGTTCCATGATTGTTGCTCTTATTTACAGTCCATGTACCATCTGGATGTGCACACTCCAATTCACTTCCTGGGGGAGGGCTAAAAGCCAGAGTTAAAAGAAACAACTGTGTACTGCTGGAGCAACAGGCACCCTGCCCTGACCAGTTTAACTTATTAATGCCGTTGCTTGTCTACCTCTCTTCTCTCCCAGCCCTTCTCTTCCCACCCCACCCCATTGACATCTGAGTAGGCCCACCAAGGCAAGACTCTTTGGCTCCCAAAAGGAAGTAACCAATTAGTGGCTTGCGTTCTGAGAAACTGCTACCTTATTCCTACGGATACTTCTGCCTCTTGCCTTACATGTATAGCTGTTAGAAATAGTTTCGTTTAGCTTTGATGCAAAGCTATTTCAGTTAATTCTAAAGCAAACCAAAGGACAGCATAAAAATAGTCCACTGAACCAATCAGACACACAAACACAAGACTGGGATTCCGTTTGTCGTTTGCACTACTTCTAAAGAATGAAAATCAACACTGTATCAGTCCATGTACCTGCTGATGGCCAGAGTCGCTCACCTGAACTAGGGACCGATGGAGGGGTGGGTGGGAGGGTGCTCTTCCGAACTAGGGTTAAATGATATAGAAGTGTTCCTATGGCTTTAAATATGGTTGTCTCTTTTTTTCTCCTCCAAGTAGAAGTAGCACTACCTGTACCTACCCACAGGCTAGAACTGATAGGATGGCCACATGCGTGATTTGTGCCTGCTTGCTTGGCCTGGTGATAGTAGCCCTGCTGTGTTCAGTTCCTTGTGTATGTTGACCTGTGAGCGGCACCTACTGATTTACCCTACGTCCCAAAGAGGGGAAAGTGATGGGGAGAGAGATGTGGACAAAGGCAAAGCGGCTGGTGGTGGCGATTACACCTCCTGCTTACAGTGGGATGAGTCCTGCTGTGTTCGTGCAGGAAAGGATTCATTCTTGCTGATAGGGGAAACCCTCTCACCCTAACTTTGAGCAAGAATCCATGACTTGTCCAAGTTTGCTAGTGCCAAAAGTAATGGCCTTCTTTGTCACAACCATTGCTTGGGTGCACGGAGGGGCTCTTGGGGGTTATTTGTGCCACAAAGCACACCTATGTTATAGCACAGAAATGGAATAGAAGCTTTCCTATGACTTTTCATTAAGGCCAGTGAGAGCACCACCAGGGATTGGGGTGCCGGGAGAGGGACGTCTTTCTAGGTGAACAAGAGGAGGATAGAACTGGCACAGCTCCCTGCAGTCGAGGGGTATGTGAGAGTGTTTGGGAGCAATATTGTAGGTTTCTGTAGCTGCTGCCTGTTCTTCCATTTTCCCATTTGGGGACGGGGGAGGGATTATAGAGGAAAAAGAAGCAACCGGTACAAGGAGTGTTCCCAGAAATGATATGGGAGGAGTATGTGCTGGGAGTTAGTCTGATCTATGCAGTATCAGATTTGGGATTCCTTTGGGCTGTGATGGAGGAGGTGGGAGAAACCATGTTGCAAGGTAGACTCTTTTACAAAAAGAGAAGTGTTTTTCATGGTGTGGTGAGAGGAATCCTCAGAATATCGAGCTCAGACGTACATTCAGGGTATTCCTGAGGAAGGTTTTGAAAGTTAGCTTCAGAAACCTAGAGTACCTTCCTGAAAACCTGATTTCTGCTGCTGATTCCTCCCCCACCTTTTCTCAACTCTTCTCTGGGTAGAAGGAGGAAGGAAAAGCAATTGTCCAGAAGGAAAGAAATTTTATCTGCCCAGATTCTGGGATAGGCTAGGAGCCTCCCTTTCTGGAGAAGAGAAACCCTACCTATCCTTGCTTCTGACATTGTCCGAATCTACTTCAGGCCAAGAAATATTGTTTAAAGATTTGTGTGGTTGTTCTTATGCTGTTTTGCAGACAGCATGTAAACAAATTGAAATATCTTATCTGAAATGAAAATATTTCATGCTTTTTTAATCTATTAGATATGGAAATATTTTTGGAACTGAAAATGCAGTCAGTAGAATTTAAATTGAAATGTAATACATGTAAAATATATTTTAGTTGATAATTTTGTAAAATGCACTTTTTGTGTCTCTTCCCTTGTTTCCCAGATCTGTATTTCAGTGTTTACAGATGGAATGAGAACATTCCCTATACCTTCCTTCTGTGAAAAAGATATATTAGAAGTAATTCTTTAAAATAAATTTGAGAAATTGTATTGATTTAGAAAACAGTGCCGAAATTGTTTTGTAGTTTTTATTTCCAGTGTTTGTTGTGTTGGTGGAAAAATTTTTATAATAGTAAGGAATATGGTGCTGACTTTATTAATTGAATTGTAAGCTGCAATATTATGCTTACATCACATATACCAAAAATACAAAGTCTAGATTCAGCTGTTGCCCCCAACTAAGAGTAGACCCATTGAATCAAAGAGATTTGCATACCTGTTGATTTAGTCAATCCTGTTGCTTGACTAAATCTACAGTACTCTAATTGTGGGTTAATAATCAGATCTAACCCGAAATGGTTTGCATTTTTGAGTGTATATTCATATGGTCGGACAAACATCCCTATCAGTAGAGGGCACACAGCAGCAGCACTGCTTTGAATCATGGTGGGAGAAATGGAAAGAGTAACTAAAGGCAAACATGCAGCCGGCTGCTTGCCCCCCTTTCAACAGAAAGCTGAAAGCAAAAATCAACTACTGCAGGATGAAGTCAGAAAGCCCATTCTATAACTCCCTCCCCAGCCCGAATTACACTTTCCCTTCACATACCAGAAGATTGTTGGTCAGTTGAAGAGGGCACATAAGGATACACTTTTTTCCAACTTGATCTCCCTACTTCTCCCTTTAAAACTTTCACAGGTTTGAGCTTTGCAGGTAATCTTGTAAACTCCAATCCAGCCCCTCCCTCCATGAATACTTCAGGCAAGACAAAACATTTTGAAACATTAGCAGTAAAACATGTTAAAATGTGAGGTATTGGGGTTTAACTCGGCTATTGTGTGAGATAGCCTATGGGGTATTTGATGATGAGTAAAAAAAAACCCTTTCTAGCATCTTGGGTCACCCACTTAATCCAAGAAATTCTTAGCATCTTGTAATAAACCCACAGTTCAGATGCTTCCGTCTTTTTTTTATAGTAACCTGTGTTAAAGTCTACAGTTTCATTATATGCAGAGGAAAGGTGAACAGACTGCACCAGACAACGTGCATCCCCAATGCCAATTTTAAGGTTTTTGTTGTTTATTCCATGCTTCATCTTAAAGAAGCTGGGTCAGATTATCTCTGTTTTCTCCATTAGTCTAGCTATGATCCCACTGTTAATTCAACAAACTTCCAATGTGGCTATACTATTACATAAATAACAAAATACATTTAAAATTGCTTTATGACAGCATAATAAAATAGGAAGGAAGAGAGCATTCACAGGACTTGAGCACAGGTGCAAATGTGTCTTTGTGGTTTTCTGTCTTGAAATATTAGAACATCTCTTCGAGGTAGAATGTAATCCTTTGATTTTTGTCAAAGACCACTTATTCTGGCAAGAGCCAACTCAGGAATGTGTAATTAACAAGTAATCAAGTGCCATCTGGTGGCAGATTAGGACACTTCCCAGATTCCAGCATGCTTATGCATTGAAGGATGTGGTGGCTTGATAAGCACTATTTACTGTTTCCTCCTGGGGTGATTTAACTTAAAGCTTGTCATTTTCACTAAAAGTTAAAAAAATGTTGAAGCAGAAAAGATTCAGAAAAAAAATGTGCTGTGGATATTGCAACTGGCTGATGGATAGAAGAGACTGGCACGGGGTTATACCTGCAAAATATTGTTTCCCAAAACTGAACATAGACTATGAATCATGGATTATAGCCCGGCAGAGAAGATGTAATTACCGTTCAGCCCTTGATCCCTGACCAGGAATAAGAACAGGAGAATTCTCAATTACCAAAACTTCCATTGTATATAATCATTGTACAGTACTACATTTTGCCTCAGAGTGGTACCCTCTAGATGTGTTGGAATACAAATCCCATAATCTCAAACAGTAACTTTCTGAAAAACTTTACAAACAATACTCAAAATAAAATGAGAGACATACAATGCACTCACCAGGTTTTATGCTGTTACATCAGTACAGTTTTCAAAAACTGTTATAGTAGAAATATTTTTAGAGAGGAATTGTGAGGGAGGAGAATCATAAACTATCTGGACCACAATATGGATGCAGCAATTGAGTGGCAGAGGGAGTGACAGTGTGGTATAGTGGATAGAGTGTCAGACTAAACAGGCAATGTGGTTTCAAACTGTCATTCAACCACAGAAATTCACTGGAGAGTGAGGCAGTGGTAAGCCAATCTAACTATCTCACTTACCTTCAAGACTACTGGGCTTGCCACAGATCAGAAGCAACCTCACGGAAGAGAATATCAATGGGAAGGAAGCACCTGGAAGTTCTCCAACCCTGATCCAAGCCCCAGGCTTTGGTTGCTGAAAAGCACAACTTTGAATTCCTGTGTATTTAGATGTGTTAGCAGTGATGGATTAAGGATGCCCGTGTTCTTGTTTCATAAAAGGCTCCTCATCTTAGTCAGGTACGACGTGGTCCTTTATATGTTGGGAACAACTGTATCCCTTGAATTCAGCTACTATAGAAATGGGAGCACCCAATGTGTGAACTTCTATAGTTTCTGGACAAAAATAGCTCAGGTTTCAAAAAAAATTGTAAGAGAAAGCAAAACTTTCTGATTATCTCATCATTTCCTGTCAAACCTGTAGCTGGTTTGACAGAACATGATGGTGTGGTTACTTCTCCCGTACTTCCAGTTAAACCAGTGGTGTGGTAGAGCAAGGGCTCTCAGAAGCAACACCGCAGGAGTTTTTTGAGTAACAGGAGCTATTATTTCATCTGCCACCCTGCCCAGGCTTCCCTTTGAGCTTAGCTATGATTCCTCGTAAAAGCTGGGAGAGAAATAGTTTTTCCAAGGAACAATACACAGTTGCAAGCTGTCTTTACGGTAATACAAAAATATCTGTGAGTGGTTTAGTCCTGAGCAGCCAGTTTTGAGCTATTGCCTTTACAATAGGCCTGCTCTGTAATTGTTGATATGCACCAATACACCCATGTGCTTAGTCTCTATGTGTGAGACGGCTGTCGGCATCTGCACTTCCAAATTTACCACTGCATCACTGAGTCTGTGATAATCCAGCCTTCGAAATGGACCCTGCCCCACTGTCCTGATTTTATAGGAGACTTTGTACAGTAAGCACTAAAAGGAACTTTAGTGGGTAGGCCCTGGCCTACAAGGCCGTAAAGAGAGAGCAAAGGGCATGAAATATTTGGGTACATTTTACCACTAGCTTCAATATGGCCAATTTTAACTGACAGTAATTGCACCAGAAATTATCCTAATCATGTGTCGAGGGTAATTGTGGCTGTCGTATTACAATGATGGAATACCAATCCAATTAAATGATTTTCCAGTAGCTTTGGGTCTATTAAAATAATTGTACTGATAAATGAGACATGGACAAAGTGGTTGTATAGTAAGATAAATTTTGTGAAATTAAGGGCTGTAGAAGTAAGGCTGTAACAAAGGGTGAGGCAATGGAGGCACATATCTTGGGAATGCCATACTGAGGGAGGATAGTAAAAATATAGAAACTATCCACCTACTGTCCCAAGTACACTGTAATGTTAGGAAAGTGATGTTAGGAAATTGACACATGTTCTATAGCTGTATTCAGTTATTCCCTGCACAGATACGTTTACTATTGTCAGGGTGCAATACATTGGGTGGGGGGAGAGAGAATGAGAGAAATGTTATGGATGGGCTGGCCTGCATTTTTTTTTAACCTCATGACTAGTGGTCATGCACAGATGCACAGGTGGAGATAACGAGGGTCCGGACCCATGGTGCTAGACAGTCCACTCACTGATCTGCCGCTGCTGTGGGCTGCCCAATCCCGTCCTGTCACTCTGGAGCTCGTGATTGGTCAGCCACTCTTCGACCTGGCAGAGAGGTTTGTCCTCCTGCCTCCTGCCAGGAGTGGTTCGATCCACAGCAGCAGTGGATCAGTGAGTGGACCGTCAGGCTCCATGGGGCCAGACCCTCGTTATCTCCACCTGTGCAGGGTTATTCATATACGAATACAAGTACAGTACCACCATCTCTACTCATGACACAAAAGGAAATGCAAATCAGCTTGGGGTTTCATTCCCCCACATCTTTAATTTTTCCCTCTACTGCTAGGACTTCTACTTTTTTTTAAAAAAAAGTTTTATTTTATTTAGTTAGTTAATTTTTTTTTACCCCACCTTCCAAAGTGGTCTTTCCATTCACATCCATTCAGGTGGTGTGATTGCTTCAACCAGTGCAGAAAAGTGCAGTGGCTGGAGGCAGAGGGCTAAGTTCCAGCCAAACACCATAGAAGCAAACACCACCAGTCTGACTACAGCTGCTTTTCAAAGCGAGTAAGTGAGCTTTCTGGAAGGGCAAAAATGCAAATAATCTGTTTTTTTTAAAAACAAAAACAAAGCAGCTTGGTGCCAGCAGTACTGGGCTAGGGCATTTGGACAGCAACAAGAAAAGATGCAAGGAACAAGAAAAAAACAAGAGAAGGAAATTGGCACTCTACAGAGACTGCCATATTCAGAGATCTGAATGGTTGTCACAAAGAAGATGGAGAAGTTTGTTTTCTGTGCTTTTGAGAGCAGGACTTAGAAAAAAGGATTCAAATTGTACCTTATTGCTTTGAATGTGTTTTGGTGTTGCTTCCTTTTTTAAGTATGATGTTTCTTTGATCCTTTTTCATATTTGTGTATTCACTCTTCTTAGCTTCAATATTTTCTTTTAATGATGCTTTGGGTCCTTTTAAGGAGAAAGGCAGGTTAAAAATATAAGAAAGAAAAGAAAAGAAAGAAAGAGAGAGAGAGAGAGAGAGAGAGAAAGAAAGAAAGAAAGAAAGAAAGAAAGAAAGAAAGAAAGAGAAAATTTGAACAAAACATTAGGAAGAACTTCCTGATAATAAAAGCAGTTTCCCAATGAAATGGACTGCTGTACTTCAGAAGGCTGTGTAGCTTCCTTCACTGATGGATTTGGAAGAGAGGTTGGATGTCCATCTGTCACTGTTACTTTGGCTATACTGTACATAGATTCCAGCATTGGTAGGAAGTTGTTCTACTGCAACACACTATGTAAGCCTGCCTTTGAAACGTGTCTGGTTCCTCT